AAACATAATTCCCTAACAAAGCCCCTTTTCCTTCTTAACTCTTAACTTCCTGACTTCTTCACTTAGTGTTTTAGACGCTTATTGACAGGTCTCCTCTTCACTCTGGAATTCTCCCTCTACTTTTCTCCCTCTTTCCCACACTTGGGTTTTTAATAATTTCAAGTCTATTCAGCTTAGAACAGGGGGCTAGAAGATTTCAGGCTTGTGTGATACATTTTGTTTTTTGCTGGAATCCAAGGTCTGCCAACTGGAACCGGAGGCAAAGTGGTGACTTTTACTGGTGGTGGTGGAGCCAACTACTTATTGGACTCATCTGGGCTAATTTACAATTAGTAATTTACAATGGATTTACTTCAGATTAAGGATTCTGGAAAAAAACCCCCCTCTAAATCTGGCTGGCAGAGCTGCCCAAAATCATATTCAGAGGCAACACATTACCACTTCTATTTTATAGGTGATCAACTGTGAATCAGAGAGACAAGAAATTAGCACAAGATCAGTCGTTTTAATACTTGCAGTTTACCTTGGTGTTATTAATGTACTGGGAGTCAGAAGCCCTTGCTGAACTTGTTTGGATCACTTAGAAATGTAGCAGCTCATGATTCTCCTTTTGCCTCATATACGGGATCTAGTTATTGCAATCACACCTGAAATCAACAATAATGTGGAAAAAAAATATTGCCATCTGAATCGCTGCTTAGGCTGTGTGTGTATATATCTATTTATGAGGATTGTGTGTGTATGTGTGGATTAGCATGCCTGAAGAATATTAGTAGTCTCGAATCCTGTTTAAAATATCCCTCAGGCCATGTGCTAGAAAGTGTGGAGAAGGAAAGAGTCACAATGAGTCATTCAAATGCAATTTCTTATTTTTAATGTAATGATGGTAGTCAACATTTTCCAGATACCGCTTTATAGATAATAATGGGAGGAAAAGCGTAGATAAGGGTGCGGGAGAGCTCTCTCAATGCCACCTCTGCAGCCAAGAATCGGAGTCCTTCTGCGCCTCCAGCCAGTGGGAAAAACAGGCTGTGCAGGCAAAAGCAGACACAGCCGGACTCCTTGCAGACATTCGGTCATCCTACTGAGGAAGGGCTGGCAGGCAAAACCTTTAGACAAAGGTAAAAAGGAACCCTTCTCAGCTTGGGCTCTTCCTGAACCTCTCCAAGCTTGGCCTACCTTTTCTTATTTTTATCTGAATTTCTGAATTTATCTGAGTTACTCGTTTATGTGCAGACTACAAGTATTCCTGTACAATCACAAATTTACCCTTTTCATCACATGACCAAAGAAATCAAACCCCTATAACACAGAATATTGAACTGAGGGTGAAAAACAAGTTAAAACAAAACTGTTGCAACAGTCTGATGAACTCTTATCCCCCTCTTGTTCTTATTTGAGGCTTTTTGAGTATGTTTATGGCTGGAACATAATAAAGACCATTACCATGCCCACCCCCCGGTAATGTTCAGAATACACATGATGTGATATTATCCCACTGACAGTTTCTATCCTGCACGCAGCGACCCAAAATGAAATTCTGTATACAGTGATGTAAGGTCACATGGTTTGCTTTATTCAAGGCCAGCAATGGCACCCAGCATAGTGGGGCCAGTGCCATAGCCAAGGGACTTGGGGGGCTTGCAGAACTAAACACCAGTTGCCCGCTTTCCTCTCCCCCACTTCCCCTTTTTGGGTCTTCACAAGGGTGGTAGGTGTGTTGTGAAGCAAAATGTTGGGCTAGGCTGCAGCTTCTCAGCACAGGCTTTCCTGTTCCACTTCTACAAGAAGTGGACCTTTCTCTGTCACAGCCCTTCCCTCAAAAAATCTCCAGGGTCTATTTTTCTAGTGACTTTCAGAAAAGAAGCCAAATCAACCCCTTGCTCTGGCTTTGTGTTTTCCCACTACAGTGGTACCTTGGCTCATGAACTTAATCCATTCCAGGACTCTGGTTGTGACCCAAATTGGTTGTGAACCAAGTTAAGTTTCCCCATAAGGTTCAATGTAATTAAGGTTAATCCATTCTGTAACCATTTTTTTAAATCAGAAAAATGTGAAGCAAAGTGACAAAGAACAACAACGATCGTGGCCATCCCCCCCCCCCCCCCCTACAATTGTGGCCATCTTCCCACTCGGGATAGTGCTGGTTGAGAGGGGGGAATGGCTGAGATTGCACCTGTCTTTCCTGCAGGAGCCCTCCCGTGGTCACACACATCTTCCCTGCACAAACGCAACTGCGATCGTGGCCATCTCCCCACTCAGAGGGGTGGGGAGATGGCTGCAACGTTGGTCCCCACCCAATGCAGAGTTCGCAACCCACGTCAAAATTTTCATGAAATTTTTGTTCGCAACCCGATTTGGTCATGAACCAAGGCGTTCGTGAGCCAAGGTACCACTGTATATGTGGTGCTGTTTGTTTTCTCTTTTCAAATGGTTTAATTGGTTTTTATGATGTCACAATACTTCTTGAGAGTTCTGTGGGGTGTGCAAAGATGGGTAAAATGAAGTGAACTGCTGCACTCAATGAAACATGCTGACATCCACCGACATAAGACATAAAAACATAAGATTCGAAGTTATGCATGTAATTATGTGTGTAGCAAAAGTGGCAGACTTTGTTGCCTCCATTATATCTTAAGTAGTCATCCAGTGGTAAATGTACTCCTCAGCAGAGTAGGAGCCCTGGGTGCTTCAAGAAACCACTGTGGCCCTTTTCCTTGGCCCCTTGATGGTTAAACTAGGGGGTTTCATAGGGGACCCCTGGTCCCCACTGATGTTCAACATCTAAATCATGGGTCCTCAAACTACAGCCTGTGGGCCGGATCCGGCATGCCTTGCCCATTTATCCAGCCTGCCTCAGAAGTTTTAGACTCCCCATGCTTACGCCCGCTGCTGCCGCCTGCCCTGCCACGCATGTGCGCCACCACCGCCTTTCAACTGGCCCCCTGTTGAAAAGGTTTAAGGACCCCTGATCTAAATGAAGCCACTGGGAGTGGTCATTAGGGAATTTGGAGCCAAGTAACAACTATTTCTCTTTGATGTTTGAATCAAGTGAAACTGTGCAAGTTTTGGATCGGTAATGGGTTGAATGAGAGCTAATAAACTGAAGCTGAATCCTGGCAAGTTGCAAATGCTACAAAGTGAGTGATTTTCAAGTCCAAGAGATAGGTTCATTGCCTTTTCTGGATGGGATTTCACTCTATTTGAAAGATCAGCTTTGTAGTCTGGAGGTACTCCTAGATCCATCATCATTACGAAAGGACTCAAATGGCCATGGTAGTTTTCCTTGCAGTGCTTTGGCTGTTCACAAGCTATATATAGCCAGGGTTTAGGAATCGGTGAGGAATTTGATTGCCAGGGGGGTGGGGAATCCTATGGATTTCCATGATTTCCCCCCTTCTCTTTGAATTTGTTTGGTGCCAACCAGCAATTGTACTAGGTGAATCAGCTCTTGGATTTCCATCTTGAAAATGGGCCATGGTTTGCACATAAAAAAACAGTAAGGAAATCTGCACAGTTCATACTACGTGCACTATTTACATAAATTGCAAACTGACTTCTGCAGAATTCTTCAGTTCTAGCACAATTTGCTCAAACTGAACTAGAACTCTGTAGTTTCCAGCTTCCAGTTTGCACAAATTGTGCAATCCCCTTAGCTTTTTAAAAGACCTTTACGAACCGTAGCCCATCTTACAGACAGAAGTCCCCGGGGGGGGGGGGGGATTCTTGGCCTGCTTCTAAGCATCAGTATGGAAGCAGGCAGGAAGCCTGTCAAGCTCAAACATGCTGGACTTTCCCTTCTGAACATGGATAACTTGACCACAGACACTAATAACCTCAAAAGTGGGTTACTGAACTATGCTCCATGTGGGGCTGCTCTTAAAGCTGGTCCAGAAGCAGGAGCTAGCAGAGAAACGTCTGTTATCTGGAGCTCCCACTTTTCAGCATGCAGCCTCTTTTCTGGGAGAACTGGACCGGATGCTTATTTGCTACAGGGCCCAGCTTAAGGTTCTTGGATGAATGTACAAAGCCTGATCAACTCAGGATCAGGATGCCTGAAAGTGTGCCATCTCTCTTAGTGAGTCACTTAAATCATCAGATGGCATGTCTCATGGTAGTTCCACATGGGTGTATGGCTTGACTGAAAGTACCTCCAGAAGTCTTCAATGTGGTATTCTCTTCCCATACAGCTCCCTGGCCATGGATGTTCAGACAGGCACACAGTAGGTTGGGGATGAGTTGGTACTTCCAAAAAGCACATTTATTTCAAGAAGTCTTCTTTGGTTAACCAGCCATGGATTTTATTGCTGTTCTTAAATGCAAAACAACAGAAACAAAAAACACATTCTAATATGGCAATTCATGCCTTGTATTAGACGTGGAACAGTATATAAATGCTGTAAATAAATACATGTAGAAAAGAACATCTGTCTATTTGTACTCCCACAGAGAAATATATGTCCCCAAGATTGGGTTGCCACCCAGTTGTGCTTGTAAGGGTAATTTGGGGGTTTAATCTCAAACAAAGTAGATGAAATATTTTCCGAGAAGCCAAATGTTTCAGTAAGATCAATGACATTTCTCAAGGATGTCTACATATCTCTGAGTTAACTCTGAAGTGAAACTTCAAGGCAATTCTGGAATATTAGACATGCAAGGAAATGAGAGGGTGGAGAGAGCTTAATGAAACTTTATAGTGAAATTTTCAACACAAAAGTAGAGATTTCTTCTTCAGGAAGAATCCAAGGAATGTTGAGGAAAGCAAAGCTAAGTCAAAGCAAAGATGTTCAGTAAGTTTAGAGAAATTTCTCAGTGGAGTTCTTTCCATTAAACCAAATGTCTTTCCATTCTGCCCAAATGGAAGGGCAGAATCTATCATACATCAATTCATATTCACTCCATTAACATATATATGAAATTTTCCCATACCTATGAACCTTTCAGCATAGACATTTTAACACCCCAACCTTCTTCCCTGCTCTCTGCTTTTATTTTTAAAGGAAATTCAAGACCATCTTCTTTCCAAGCTAAAAGCTTTAGATGCTATTGAGGAAAAAAATGCTTCCCTGCAGCATGAAATCTCTTCTTTGAAAAGCACCCTCGGATACTTTAAAGGGTAGGCTCATTGTCTGCTTCTTTTTAATGGCATATTCCTTTGCTTTCAATACTGTTTTTGTGCCAGTGCCAAGGTAGTGATGCCTGTAAAATTAGCAAATGCAAGTTTCCAAACCCTGACTGGACTTCTATTTTCAAAAGAAGGAAGAGGAGAGGGAGAACACTCAGGTTGCCACAAATGATTCTCCTGCTGAAGACAAGTCTGTGCTGTGTGTCATTCAGAGGAGCCAAATGTAAGGTTCATGGGTCAAATCCCCCTCCAGGCCTAAGACGTTCCTGCATAGGAAGCACTCCTTCTCTAGGCCCATGTGTTTGTTTGTTTGTTTGTTTGTATATTTAGAAAATTTCTAGGTCGCCCCATTCGCCGAAACCTCAGGGCGGCTTACAAATAAATAAATTAAAATACATAAATTAACAATATAAAACACATGTAACAGTATAAAATAAGTCGCCCTGGCCAAAGAATAGAAATAAATACCATTAACAATTAAAATGACGCTTGAATAAAAAGGTCTTCGCCTGGCACCGAAAAACAAATAACGACGGTGTCAGGAGGACCTCTCTGGGGAGCACATTCCATAGATTGGGCACCACCGCAGAGAAAGCCCTCCTCTGAGTACCTATCCTCCTAATTTCCTTCAAGGAAGGTTCCCGGAGAAGGGCCTCTCCTGCTGATCTCAGGGGGCGGGCGGGCATATATGGACGTAAGTGCCCCTTCAGGTAGCCAGGACCCAAGCCATTTGGGGCTTTATAGGTCATCACCAACACCTTGAATTGGGCCCAGACTTCAATGGGAAGCCAGTGAAGCTGACGGAGGACTGGAATCATGTGAACATAACGCCCAGTCCCCGTCAGCAGCCTGGCAGCTCTATTCTGAACCAATTGAAGTATCCGGACCGTCTTCAAGGGTAGCCCCATGTAGAGCACGTTACAGAAGTCAAGGCAGGAAGTCACCAATGCATGTGTCACTGTCGCCAGGCCGAAGAGCACTCCCAAGCTGTGGACCTTGTCCCTAAGAGGGAGTGCAACCCCATTCAGGACTAGGTTCAATTCACCCTCACCGAAGCCCGATCCGCCAACCAACAGGACCTCCGTCTTGTCTGCACTGAGCTTCAGTTTATTGGCCCTCATCCAGCCCATTACCTCGGCCAGGCACCGGTTCAGCACAGCCACTGCCTCACCTGGATTGGTGGAAAACGAGACGTAGAGCTGGGTATTATCAACGTACTGATGATTCTGCAGCCCACACCTCCTGATGACCTCTCCCAGCGGTTTCATGTAGATGTTAAACAGCAAAGGGGACAAAATGGACCCCTGCGGTACTCCATGACATAGCTGCCATGGCGCAGAGTCATAGTCCCCCAGCACCACCTTCTGGAAACAGTAATTGAGATAAGAGCGGAACCACTGCAGAGCAGTGCCTCCGACCCCCAATCCCGCTGGCCTATCCAGAAGGATACCATGGTCGATGGTATCGAAAGCCGCTGAGAGGTCCAGAAGAACCAACAGGGACACACTCCCCCTGTCCTTCTCCCTGCACAGGTCATCATACAGGGCGACCAAGGCAGATTCAGTACCGTACCCGGGTCTGAAGCTGGACTGAAATGGGTCCAGATAATCAGTTTCATCCAAGAGTGCTTGGAGTTGTCCCACCACCACTCGCTCCAACGCCTTGCCCAGAAATGGGATGTTGGCCACTGGTCTATAATTAGTGGCCATCTCTGGATTCAGGACGCTTTCTTCAGGACCGGTTGGACTACCACCTCCTTTAAAGGGGCAGGTACCCGACCCTCCCTCAGAGAAGCGTTAACCACTTCCAAGATCCAGATCCCAATCCCGTGCTTGGCGTTATTTATTAACCAAGACGGGCAAGGGTCCAATAGGCAAGTGGTGGGACGTACTCGTCCAAGCATCTTGTCCACATCATCAGGCCACAATAACTGAAATTCATCCATTAATTTTGGACCAGTCTGCGGCATTGGTATCTCCCCAGAAACCTCTGAGTCACTAGTAGAGTCTATTTGGGAATTTCCCAATTATTTTATTCTTTGCCCCAACTCCCATCACAAAGGTTGGAAATTCCTCTCCTAACGTGCAAGAGAACTGAGAGCTTGACACTAAAACATGCTGGTAATTTTTGCTCCTGCTCATTTGGCTTTGGCCTCATCCATCACTGGAACACTCTCCCCAAAAGCACCTCAGAAATTGAATTTGGCCCTTGGTCTGAAAGAGGCTCAATTATTGTGACCCAGCAGTATTTTGGTTTCCCAAGTGCAAAACTACTTTTGTGCTTGCCAGTCCCAATCAGATATCAAAAACTTCCAGGTGGGCTTTCCAGCCATGGATGCTGGGCTGCATTCAGCTAGTGGGTCAGAAGTTGTGCAAGCTTCTTCTTTGACTTTATCTTGTTTCCTGGTTTCAATAGGAGACACTGTGTAGTTTTGCCCTGACACTTGCTGGCCAGAAATCATTATGATTTACCAGATTTCCAGGGCAGACCTGCAGAAATTTGTCAGCTGTCAAATAATGCAGAGAGGGTTTCTTGTAATAAGAAGTTCAAGAGCTTCTGCTATAGAATACATGACATTTGTCATCCATACCCTTAACAGATAAAGTTCTAACCTCCTGCCGAGATTCCAACAGCAAAGTCTTACCAAGAATGAACATTTATGAAAGGAGCCACCAAAAGTCTTTCTGACATTCAGACAAGCTCTGTGGTCTTGGCTTTGTATTTAACTTTATTTTTTTGCGGTTTCCCCACAGTTATCTGGGACAAGAAAAATAGAGAGAGAAGTTACACTGGGGGTGTACAATCAAAATAACATTTACAGTTTATTCAGACATATGGGAAATGTGCATCATGTAGGTAGCTCCCAAAAAGACTACCAAGACGGAGTTCGAGTTCGTACAAACTATTTTTATAACCTGTCAGTTATATGCAGTCTGGAGTGGGGGGTGGGGGAGTCACATAGGCAGTTTGCTAGAGGCACAATAGAGTAAAACAAGAGGGTTGAATGGATTTGTGGACAACACAAAAGGAACAACTTTCAGGACAGGCAAAACATTAGCATGTCTAAGGTGTGTCCCCAAAGGAAGACCTTTCCAACAGGCACATTAGCTATCTAAGGTTTTCCTGGGGAGCAAGACTTGCAACATGGATTCCAATTGGATCTGGAATCCCACCTTAAGTCTAAAGCCGTTCTTACTGTGTCAGGATTTTAGCAGCCATATTTTGGCAGTTCATTCACTCATTTTGTTCTGACGTCTTACAGCCTGCGGCCACTTAATATATTGTAAAAAGAGAGAGAGAGAAAGGAATGAGCAGTGAAAAGAACATGTATCTGCTCAGAATTTACATGTGCTCGTTTATATGTAGAAATATGTAGAGATGCAAATGTATAAAGAATTATTATCATATAAATAGAGGAATAATTCTTCATTCCATGGTGTGGGAGGAAGGCTGCAGCCCGGTTGTCTGTGGGCCTGCCTCTCCTGGCACTATGTTGAGGTCCCTGCTAGCCAGGTGACTTACAGACCCACTAAACCAAGTGCCAATGAGGTTCAGTCAGGTGAAGATTCATTCAATTTCTTTATTCAGCTGAGCAAAGCAACCGGGTGTCCACTCCCTACACGCAGGCAGGAAGCGACACACACACATTTCACTAACTCATCCTTTTTATACCTTTTTCCTTTTTTTTTTATTCACTTAATCTCGCCCCCATTGTTCCCTCACCCAATCCCCTCTCAGGGTCTGCTTGACCCTTGCATGTCTGACCTCATGCATGTTTATCTATGTCTAATCCCCTCACAGGAGGGAGCGTGATCACTGAGTTCCGGACCTTGGGTAGGAGATCTTCTTCTTCACACTACCTCTTTGTCTTACTTTATAAACATTCTTTTGCCTTCCCTTTTTTCTCTCCAGAGCAAGCAGTTTTACAAAAAGCAAATAGCATTAGTTAAGCTAATTAGGCTCCTTCAAAATAGTGTTAGTTAAGCTAAAAGCAAATAACGTCAGTTAAGCTAATCAGGCTCTTTCAACTTACTCTAGAGAGATAACTTGATGGCTTTTCCTCCCCAGGGGTCTCTCTCTCTCTCTCTCTCATTCTCTCTCTCTCTCTCTCTCTCCCCCCCACAGCCATGTCAGCAGCAAGCACCAGTGCTCAAAGGGTGCCGAGGGGATCTGGCCGCGCTCTGGATGGCCCTTCAAGGACCCAGAGATATGAGGGCTGGTGTGTGACCAGCTCACGGCCAAACCAGGCATCTGTTTAATGCAGGATTAGCAATCACTTTTCAGTTATAAGAGCGTTTGAGTACCAAGCCCAAGGGTGCCACCGATTTTCATGAGGGACTAACTGCCCTGTGTAGGAAGGAGAATCTTAGTCATTTTCTTCCCAGTTGTAATATCCACAAGTATCATGTTAGTGCATGCAAGTTATTCCCACTGCAAACAGGAGCAAATAAATAACTCACTGGCACTCCGTCCCTGGATTGTTTTGTGTTGCACCAAAGCCCAGACCTGTGGCTTGTCTCACCATCAACAAGCCAATGAAAGAACCCAAGATTTCTTCTAGGTTTGTTTCACTGGCTGCCTGGGGAAAGAGAAGCCAGAAGTCCAGTTTCAGATATACTAAACAACCCTGGATTATTTAACCATTCTTGTTTAGTGGAAGAAATTGAGTAGCATGTACCAGCACATTGCTGCATTGAAGACAACCCACAATTTTTAAAAAACTGTGACATGCAAACTAGGCCTATGTTTAAAGAGAGGAATTTAGTCCTCTGTTAGATACTTTCACTTTCAAAATCATATTTTAGCCATCTTGTACCAGTAGGGATTTTTTCCAATGGCCTTTGTGGATGAAAGTGATTCACTTTTACTTAAACAAAACCAAATCCTTTTGTTGCAGAAGGAAAAGATTTTCCAAAAATGCTGAGTGTTGATATTAAACCAGCCTAGGTCATGAATGAAACACATCCTGCAACTCACCTGCGAGCTCATTT